ACAAATTACGGTGGACTCTGCACATTTTATTTATTTATTTATTTATTTGACATGTATGCTGCTACTCCCAATTTGGCTCGGAGTGATTTACAGCAGTAGATTAAAATAATACAATTAACTTTAAAATACAATAAAAACAAGAACAGACATAGTCTCGAAAACAATAAAAACAAGAACAGACATAGTTTTTGTGCACTACAAATATGTTATTTGTAGTGCACAAAAACATGAAATACAGTATTTAAAATGAACAGTTTTTAATAATAGCTTTTATTAAACATTTTTTTAAATAACATAATAAAAAGGTATGAGAAAAAAGGGAAAAGGAAGGACAGTTTTTACCAACATATACTTACATGTATTACAATGGGAAGTGTGGACCTGCTTCTGGCTGATGAGATAATCAGGTTAATTGGGTTTGTTGTTGTGTGCCTTCCAGTCATTTCAGACTTAGGGCAACCCTTAGTTTGAAATCCCTGATCTATACTGTAGAATTAATGCAGCTTGACACCACATTAATTGCCTTGGCTCAGTTATGAAATCACAAAAGTTTGGTGAGGTATCAGTGCTATTTGGCAGGGAAGGCTAAAGATCTTATAAAACTACCAATCCCATACCATTGAGCCATGGCAGTTAAAGTGGTATCAAACTACATTAATTCTAAAGTGTAGATGCACCCTAGGTTTTAAAATAAAAAGTAGAAAATAAAGGGCTTCTCTAATTTGAGTGCTTTCTCAGCATGTATCAGTAAAATGGCCACATTTAGAAGAGCTTTGAAAATTGTTGGGATTGGAAATTCATTAGCAAAAATACCATAGTTTGATACTAAGACATCTAGTCAGGTGATGGGTTTTAATAAATAAGTTACAGATAAAACCCTGACCCTTGAGTGTATGATTGAACAAAATATTGATAATTTGACAGCATGCATATAAACCGAAAAACAGTTTACAGTGATTAATAGTACAGTGCTATTCAAAATTCAACAACATTTCTAAATAAAAATTGATCAAGCATTTCTGACAATATTAAAATAATTGCAAACCTAAGACATGATTTGGAAAAGGTGAAAGATAAAATGCTGATACATCTGAATTTCAAAAAGACTCACATCAGACTTAGGGCCTTTCAGATGGACCAAAATACCAAAAGAATCCAGCATTTCAAATGCCAGTTTGTCTTGGAATGTGGCCAGATTAGTCCCATAAACTCCGGAATTTTGCACAGGGCTCGATTTTCGATAAACCTGGAAGGGCATCTATCCAGCCCCCAGCCCCCCCCAGCCCCCCAATTCCACCTAAACCTACCAGAGAGGCCTGCAGACAGAGCCCTCCCAAAGGAAAACATTTAGCATTTTAAAAAAGATAGGGAAGTGTCTACTGTCAGGAGATCTGTATAAGAAAGAGAGATTATAGACATTTGTACAATAGAACAACATTTGCATTGCTGAGGCTATTGCAATGGAGTAGTGGATCCTAACATGGATAAATGCTCCAGCAAAAGTTTTAACAAAGATCAAGGCAAGTGGCTCAAATCCTTTTTCAAGTATGCTGAGAATTTTTGCGTTGATAGATTGTTGGAGACAGCCAAACTGCAGGGATTATATCATTGTTAAAAACTGTCATGAGTCTTTTTTCAATAGATATGATTGGAATTTCTAAAAATATGGTTAATCTAGTAAAGAGGATGGATATTCTGCCAAAACGATTCCCAGACTATAATCCCATGATGACATCACTGAAAATAGAAAAAGCACAGCCTAGTCTTTAAAAATACCTACTTTTGGGGACAGAAACATTACAACAATGCAATGAAGAATTGAAGGATTTTTAAAACCAAATTTAAATAAGGTAAAAGATTTTACAGTATCTTGGGACACAAGTAAAGCCAATGTGAGAGGACTGTTTATAGAATATGGTTCCAGACTGGGGGAAAGAGACCTAAAAAGAAAAAAATAGGAATAGATACCAAATTCAGGGGTAAATGAACTAAACATTTTGATAAGGCTACTCAATAGAAGATTGAATTTATTATATATAGTTGTGTATACATTTACCTCATTTATAAATTGAGGATTATGGATTTTGTTATGAGTAGATAAGTCGAGCATAAAACTTTGAAGCTTAACATGAGGCTCCTCGGATTAATTCCATTTAGAGGTGCTAGGTTTTTCAAATTTGTTTGTTATGTTTACTAGAACATTGCTTCATCTTCTAATTTGTATATTGGTCTAAGCAGCTGCCTCCAAAATCCCTTACTGAGCATGAGCGAACCGCAAATGTAATGTATTGCGATATCATAGGCAGATTATACTTCAGAGATCTCCAGAGTTAGAAAAATGTGTAACATGAAGAACCAACTGGAATTTGTAACTACTCACTAGACATATATAGAAAAAGCCCTTGCTGAGGTGGTTTATAATTTCATCATAGATAGCGAAGACAATATTGTAGGAGTATGCTCATTTGTACATAGACTCGGTCCTCCATGATTAAAATATTATCAAATTTAAATGTGATGTTTGTAGTTTTGTTGGGGTATGTATTTGGCTTTTTCTTTACAATCTGTTTTGTGGTTTATACAGATACATTTGGCTGCTGTTCAGTTTATTTGTAATTAAAGGGAAATGTTCTGCTATCTTTCATAAACATTAAATGGTCATGGCTTTAACACATGTGATAGCCTGAAGATTATGGGGCAGAGAGAGAAAGAGAGAGATATATTTGGAAGGGTTATGGCATTTTTAAATTTTTAATGTTTTTCTTTTCCCCCCATTCAAGGTATAATATGGACACTAATGAACAAACTGGAACTTTGTGTTAGAAATTCCTTAAGATGTATCCATGATTCCTACCCTTATGTTGGCAAGTATTTTTTTTAATTTAAGAAGCATTCAAAAATAGTTCTATTAGATGTTTCAGTGGAATTTGATTCTAAGAATAAACTCATAAGCATACTTTTAAAGATGTTTTTTCATTAGATTCTAAAGATTAGAATATATTTGAGTGAATATACTCAGGGTTGCTATTTTAGTGCTCCTTCAGTTTCTTCAGGCAGCTCTCATTTTTGTCCTGGAAGGTGAAAGGAAACGAAAGATATATAAAATCAGGAACTGATCTTGTGTTCTCATGTGCCTTTTAATTGTGTGTTTGGATTATCCTAAGGTATTAAATAAATACAGGTATATCTCAGTTAACAAAGCAAACATTACTTCTTGAACAGAACAGTTGATACTAGAGGCAGAAATAATGTGGAAAGATCATGGATGCACCCATGCATCCTTCAGCATACTTTTTAATCCAAACAATATGCGTTTAAGAAGTGAAGTAAACACAGGTATAAACCTTCAAGATAGCACTTGAAAATGTTTTTCAAAATATATCCAGGAATAGTTCTTTCACCAGATTCCACTTACTTTATTATTTCCATTTGGTACCCGGACATATGAATGTATAACATGTTGGAGGTGGCTCGTGAGGCAAGCTTACCTACTCTCTCGTTTTATCTATGTTTTGTTGTTCATGCATGTTCTGTAAGCTGCTTTGTACCTTTCTTGATGTAAACAAGCACACAGAGCTATAGTAGGATTACCTAGGGAAGAATTACATTTTTCCTAGATCAAGCTTTATTGCACTATTTATTGCAGACATACTGCTGCAATTCAACACTCAAAATCTGTGGGTTGTTGTAGGTTTTTCGGGCTGTATGGCCATGTTCTAGAAGCATTCTCTCATGATGAGATGCCTGCCATAGATGCAGACAAAATGTCAGGAGAGAATGCTTCTAGAACATGGCCATACAGCCATACAACAACCCAAAGTCTTTGACAATACACAGAAAGTCTGTGTTTTTCCAGTTTTACTTCACCATCCTCCCATTGCTGATGTTGCTGAAAAGCCTCCCAGTTAGACAAGATGAAAAGGAAACAAGGACTGGGAGAACATAAAAAGGGGTCTGTTTTTATAGTCTCTTTTACGCTCAAGTTCATATCTACTTCATTATGTAATGAAAGTCACTTTTCTAGAAGAACCACTTGTTAGTATAGCAGCCTCTAAGGTGGTTATGGTAGCTGGAGCTGTGACTATTTCTGAAGAATCTGGTGAATGGCCCAATCTCCCTGAGAAAGGTTTAGAGAGCCAGGAAAGGAGGAAGCTGAGAATAAATGAGTCTTGCATTGCCATGCGTATTCTGTGTTTGTATAGAAGCTAAATGGTGATTTTAATCAGCTTTTAAAAATTAAGTATGGAAAGACAAGAGGAAGAGTAGTCTTTTTTGCCAATAGGCTACAAGCTAAGGGAAGAAGAAACATTTAAGTGGATCTGTTCAGAAATATACATACCATCCAATTAATCAAGCTGTAATAACTGAAATATGACATGAGATAAATTAAAATATAGCACAATTCTCTGTTTTACTGTGGAAAGTAAAAATAATACTAAATTACCAGCACCAAAAGGAATAATATATTGCAGTATAGTATCTTTTGAATAGTCAATTGTCAAATAATGGGTGCCTTGCATTGTTTGCCATAGATTATTGAGCAAACAGTCTGTATAGTTCTTGATTCGGATTGTACTAAAGAAGAATAAAGAGCATTGTGACATGCAGATCAACTTGAATTGCCTTTCTTAGGAAGAGTAAATATCTAGTGGAAGAACCTTTAAGTATTCCCTGATTGAAAGACGATCAATTCCCTGATCTGACCAATTCTCTGAAAAATGTCCTTTATTCTACCTGTTGGGGCAATCAACCTCATCCTCTAAAACCTGTATTCAGACTCATTTTAATGCTGTCACACCCAGTGTTTTAAATTTTTTTAATCTTATTAGAATAGGCCCTGCCCACAGTGTTGGATCCTTGTGTTTCTTAAATGTATTATTATTATTATTATTATTATTATTATTATTATTATTATTATTATTATACAGAAGTGATTTTTGTTATTGTCTTTGTCAGAAAACTACACTGTGCTTTGGGGAATTGATGGTAAACCCTACTTAGCTGCAAGAGACAACACCTGTGATGTTCAAACAATCAAGAAAAGAAATAAGCTCCTGTGTTTCTTCTGGTTGAAACTGTAAACAGGAGGCTGCTGAATACCATGGTAACACTAATATCAGAAAAACTGAAAAACCAGACTTTGGATGACTTGGCATGCAAAACATTAAATATTAATTTGGTAAGGATACAACCTTTTATGTATTTACTTTACAGCTTTACATAATCCTAAAATTATAAAGCCTTAACAAGGAAAAAATAGTAAGTGTGTAAAAAGGGGACATGAGGTCTAAACTTTCTACCTTTACACCCAGACAGATTTCAGGCTGGTTTGTAGGTTTTTTTTTTGGTTTATGTAGTTTATGAATATAAGCCTTACTGTACTTAGTAGAGCTGCCTTCTAAATAAATATGCGTAGATTTGGGCAGTGAGAGCTCTTCCTTCTCCTGCGCCTCCTCAGAAAACAACCTCAAAATCAAACCTGCTTAATCACAACTCATTTGAAGTATGTGTTGTGTGAAATACTGAGGCAGGCTAACTAGCTCTTTTGAGAGCTGAATCCATCTTTCCTGACCCAGAAATACAGTTTTAATCACCACTTCTATATTATTCAGGATGGAGAATTGTATGGTATTATTCTTTCTCTTATTGCAGTACTCAGATGAGAAGCAGAACAAAAGTCATAGCCTGTTCCCCTTTGAAGTTAGTGGTAAGTTCTAACATTTTAGGCTGTCTTTGAGGTTCAGTTTTCTAAAGATAATGAAGGTGGTGGTGGTGATGGGGAGGAATTACAGAAACATTTGTTTACCTTTGCACAGTTTGGGAATATTATTGGAATATATGCTTTTTTATGTATATATTAAATCTTGTTTGTCATTGTTATATTGAATTTATGATAAGTTGAATTAATAGTTTTTTACTCATTTGAATGTATTGCTATCTGTTGGTAACCATTTTCTTTCCGGTATTATTTTGTATATTCTTAATAAATTGGGTCAAAATCCAGCTCTTAGTGCCAAAGAGGAATAGATCCTTATGATCAGTGGAATTTTACATATTCCTGAATGATGGTTAAAGAAGGGGAGCATTTTCTTATTTAAACAAGGTATTTGGGAGATAGTGCATGACTTCTTTTAAAAGTGTTCTCTTGGGGTTCTCTTGGAAACACAATTCTGATTTAAAATTAGACACAACCTTACTATCCAACTTGATTTCAAAGTAAAGTAACATTTTATTTATTTATTTATTTATTTGCTGCATTTATTGACCGCCGCTCTCAGCCCTAGGGCGACTCGCGGCGGTGTACAACATATAAAAACATTTACAATAGAGCAAAAACAGGAAATCAACATATCAGTAATACACAATAATCTAAATTACACTAAATACTCCGCTCCGTCACATCATAGAATCATAACCAATCTCGTAATCCATATTCCGTTCCAGTTGTCATTACCAATTAGTGTAGCACTCAATTAAATGCCTTCTCAAATAGCCAAGTCTTTAGGCTCTTACGGAAAGACATAAGGGAGGGCGCCTGTCTGATGTCAACAGGGAGGGTGTTCCACAGCCGGGGGGCCACCACCGAGAAGGCCCTCTCTCTCGTCCCCGCCAGATGTGCCTGTGAAGCAGGCGGGATCGAGAGAAGGGCCTCCCCAGACGATCTCAAGGCCCTCGTGGGCTCATAGGCCGAGATGCGGTCCGAAAGGTATACCAGCACCTTAAATTGCTCATAGGCCGAGATGAGGTCCGAAAGGTATTTTGGGCCGGAACCGTTTAGGGCTTTGTAGGATAACACCAGCACCTTAAATTGGGCCCGGTAGCAAATCGGCAGCCAGTGGAGCTGGAACAACAAGGGCGTTGTGTGCTCCCTGCGTCCCCGCTCCTGTTAGTAACATGGCTGCCGCGCGCTGGACTAGCTGAAGCTTCCGGGCCGTCTTCAAGGGCAGCCCCACGTAGAGAGCGTTGCAGTAGTCAAGGCGGGATGTGACCAGAGCGTGTACCACCGTGGCCAAGTCAGACTTCCCAAGGTACCACTGATTAACTAAAATGTGGCAATAATGTTGTAAAGGCAAAAGTCCCTAGTTATTCAGGGCATGCAGTGTGCCTCCTTCCTCTCTGAATTTGCTCAACTTTCAATCTGCATGTTGATAATTTGTGCTATAATAAGTAAAGTACTTCCTAACGTAGAAGAATTTGGAAATTATGAGGAAAGCCCCTGGTGTTGCAGTGAGTTAACCACTGAGCTGCTGAACTCGCTGACCTAAAGGTTGGCGGTTCGACTCTGCGGAAGCAGGGTAAGCTCCTGCTATTAGCCCCAGCTTCTGCCAACCTAGGAGTTCAAAAACATGCAAATGTGAGTAGATCAATAGGTACCGCTTTGGCGGGAAGGTAATAGTGCTCCATGCAGTTATGCCGGCCACATGACCTCTATGGAAAACAAGGTACCGCTTTGGCGGGAAGGTAATAGTGCTCCATGCAGTTATGCCGGCCACATGACCTCTATGGAAAACAATATCTTGTCCTCTGCATCAGTTTGCTTGAGAGATCCTGCTCTGTGCCAGTGGGTTTGGACCTCATCATCTATATCAGTATGTTTTTGAAATTGTCCTGTCATTATCAGAATTGGTCCTAAAAGAGACACTAGAGGTAGAAGGTTGTCCTTCCCCTTCCTCTCTGTGGCATAGTAGTTAATGCAAATGGCTTTACAGGAAATCTTTTTATTTCTACTCTACAGAAGAGGGCTCTTGGAAAACTTCACATGAAAATTCTCAAGTCAGAACCGAGTCAAATAAGAATTCAGTTTGTTCTCTGCCATTATTTCAATTTCGTTCAAGTGGATCCAGTGCAGTTGCACATTGGCAACATGAATCTTCAGGTCAGTCTCTGGACCCAGCATCATTAAATGAACTGACTCTGAATGAGAACACCAGGCAGTCATTGACACCACCTCCCAAACGGCATTGTAGGTCACTTTCTGAACCAGATGAGTTGGTTTGGTGCCGATCACCATGGAAACCTGGCAGTTCAAAGATTTGGACCCCCATGTCCAAGAGGCAATGCAACAGTGGATGCAGTACTACTTTGCAACGATGCAACAGCCATGGAAGCACCTACGTAAAGCAATGCGCAAGCATCAGTTTGTCCCATAGTCACCAATCCAGAAGCAGTGTATTCCAAATCACCAGCCGCAATGCTTCACCGGTACCCAGACCTTCTTCTGCAAGTAGTGGTTCTATAGATAGCAATGAAGGAAGGTCAGGTTCAGGTTTTCATTGGCATTCTGGAAGATCTTACGACTTTCACCCACGGCGTCGCCTTTCCCTATCACAGGAACACATTACTGAAATGGGAAACAGCTTCTCTTCAGCTAATAGCACTCCCACGTCCACTCCAGAGCTCAGTCGGAGTCAGGTCTTGTTGAGATGTCACTCACAGCCTTGTGTCTTGAATGAAAAGAAAAGCCGACTTAAGCGCCGGAGGGACGAGGATATCCACTGGAATCGTCCTTCGTTAGACTTTTTAAAAATGACTCGGGTGAGAATATTTGTGTCTGTCTGTCTGCATTCTGATATTAAACCTACCCCAGACAGTTCTCTTGGGTATATTCATTCATTTTGTAGTTCCCTTGTGAATTTTTTAAAAACCTGTGAACTGCTTTATGTCTTCAAGAAGAAGTGATTTTAGAGCATGGAACATAGAGGGAAAATGCATTTCTTAAATCATTGCTTAGGTCTGTTTTCTGTAGTTGGTTGTGGAAAAGATCATTGAATTACTGTTTTCCACAGAGTAGAATGCAACTCTAGAGAGTAAAAGCCATCAAGATACTGATGGAGGCACAGCAATCATAATGTATAGAATATTAAAAAATACCATAAAAGGCCTTTATATGTAAAAATATTAACTAGGAAGACAAAGAAATCCATAATCGAGATTTTGCTATGGACATATCCTCTCTCTATACTTGCCAAACAGGTCTGGGTATAAAGGGAAACCAGAGCATAGAACCGGAGGTAACATTTTAACTTCAGCCTCATACAAAGAATAAATGTTTTGGAAAATTGACCTTTCCTATGGCATTTTGCAGTTAGAATTATTTAGCAAAATGCACATTAGTCTTAGATGTCTCGATCCAGCTGAGACATGATCTAAACATGTTTGCAACATTTGAGATGTTCTACAGTTGGTCCTCTATGGCAACACAAATTCAACCATTGACAGCTTGAAAGAAGCCTTGATTTTGCATTTTACATAAAGGACACCATTTTACTACGCCATTGTATATAATGGGTTTTGAACATCCATGGATTTTGGTATCCATGAGGTTCCTGGGACTAAATTCCAGTGGATACCAAGTGCCCTCTGTAATTATTAAATACAGCATTAGTTGACTGTTACATACTTTTTGCTATATAATAATGATTTATTTCTGAAAGAATTAATGAACACTATGTTGTCTGTATTTTTTCTATGAAAGTGTGACATCTTACAGAGTATAGTAGAGTTCTGTGATGGTCTTGTTTTCAAAAATTGGGAGTTTACGCTTGAAATTGATTGATCTACTGCTTGACAGTATCGCTCTGGAGATAATATACAACAAGCTATATCTCTACCAGTAACTAGGCTCCTTTAATCAGCAAGTTGTTATGTGAAAAGACTCTGGATCAGTCTTCTTCAACCTTTTAAAAATAATTGATTAGTATTATTACTATTTGTTTTAGTCACAATGTTTGGTAGAACTGCGAACTACCTATCATGAAACCATAGGGTTTGTCAGAATTCTGATTGGGGAACCTTAGGGTCAGCAATGGTTTTCTTGCTTCCTTTTTCTTCTTATCTTTGGAAAAATATTCACCGGCTTTTCTCAGAATTCAGAGTAGAGATTTCTTATTAATTGATTAACAATATGCAAATATAGTGGATGGAATATGTAGTACAACCCCCACAACCCTAGGGCTGGTACCTGTGGTTATATTTGTTCATGTCAGACAAAGTATGTTCTCTCCAGGCATTTTCTAGATCCTCCAGAATGACTCTACTGAATTGTGTGTGTATGGGTATGTGTGTGATTGTTCAGAGGAGTTTGCTGTTGCCTTCCTCTAAGAAAGAGAGAGTGTAACTTGCTCAGGGTCACCCAGTAAGCTCCTTGTTTAGCTTTCCAGAGGGATACTCTTGCTGTTGCTGGGGGAACATTAAGAGAAGTGGTGGTCCTCACGAAGCTTTTCCTTGATTTGAGTCTACTGGGAGGAGGCTGATAGCCATGCAGTGGATGGCTTCCACAGTGTTCAGTCTTGTTTCTCTCACAGTTAGCAGCAACTTCTCATTGCACATCGGGGGGGGGGGGGGGGGGGGGGGGATGCCAACTAGCTTGCAGAGTCTATCAACAGGTGTAGGTTTGACATTCTGTGACTATTCTGCATGTTTCATTCAGTGCTATGTTCACCTGTTTCGTATGAACAGACCTCTGCCAAACAGGCAGGCATACTCAGCAGTTGTGTAAGACAGGGCTGATGATTTTATTAATTTTGTTTCTGCTCCCCATGCACTGCCAGTAAGTTTCCACAGGATGTTATTACTATTAATTCCCTACACCTTTGGACACTATCTAGTCAGTCCCATACATAAAGGAATAAACTGTAAACAGCTTTCTTGTAAATGGTTTTACAAGCCTTTGTGGATACTGAATTTATTTGTTTTGGTCATATCTTGTTTTGTGAGTAAGCTGCAATGTATAATCTATGCAAATAAATATCCAAAATATTTTATAATCTATACAAATAAAATTCAGTTCAAGACAGCACAGGTTCAAAACCTTAAGGTTTGTTACTCAGAAATAATTTGAATTATTCTCCAATCAAAATGGAATGAAATGAATCTAGTTTGTCTGGTGTCCAGCTGGTCTGGGGTGCAAAGACTAGTGAATCTGCTGCAGCTGGAAGGCTAATGGACTTTAGTTCAGTATTCTAAAGCGTCTTGCTTTATAATCACATATAACTTGGAATATTGTGCAAAAAAACCTTTTTTTGAATAGTAGATAAAAAAGAAGTAGAAACTGTTGTGCAATAATATTTTTTCTAATGCACTTTGATAGTGTCCTCCCCCAGGTAAATGCTTAAGTTTCTAGAAGCCCTTTAAATATAAATAAGTAATGAATCAAGTTAATAGGCTGTTTTCACTGCCATGATAATGCATTGGCAAATATCAGTTGCTGCAAAGTTATTCAAACTGGGCATAGATTTTTTTCTGTATAATCTGTTGGTCAGCGAATAGACGTATTAATAACTGCTGTTGAGTTTAAAATGTATAACTGATTTCCATGGGAACAAATATTGACAAATACATATTGGAATATTACATTTTGTTAGCCCCTTTGATTTTGAAATGCATGCTTTTTAATTGCAGACTTTAAAAATTTCAAAAAGTCTCTGCTCACTTGATTATGAGGATGATGACACACAGATGAAGACCATTGTCTCCTCTCCATGCGACTCAAATGACTTTATGAACATAACCACTCCTGGTTTAAGCCTAGAAGAGGATCAGCTAAAGGCTGTCTGGTGCCATGGCTCACAGCAAGCCAACTTCAGCATGAGGAGCTCCGTGGAAGTGGCTGCTATGTGCGAAAGTGAAGAAGAAACTAGTGACTGTGAGAGCACTGAAGAAGGCATCTTTCCTCTGGACTATGAGGCCATAGATCTAGAGCAGATAGAAAATAATTGAGCCAAAGACATCCTAAAAATTAGTATTGTATGTTTCACCAGAAATGTTACTGGGCGATGATACTACCTGTGTTTCTGACTTCCTGCACCTTGAGTAGTCTACCTACTGCTTGAGTGAGAAACAAGAAGGGTGAGTTATAAAAACAGTTGGCACTGAATTATAGATGAATACAGGGACACTTTCAGAGCAATATGTGGAGAAATCATTTGATTTAGATATTTTTTTAAATAAATGTCTATTCTTTCCAACTCAGATACTGAATATTTTTGAAACAAGATTTTGAAAGAGTATTCAGTGCTGCAGCGGGATTTAAAGTATCTTGCAACATAATTAAACATGTGAATGGGTTGCATAATGAAATTTCTAGCAAACCATACGTCCAAAGTATATATGGTAACTGCCTTGTATGGTGAGTAGTTTGGGCTTTGTATACACGTCAAAATTTGGTTCACATGCTGTTGGCATCATTGAATGTTCATGGATTTGCATTTGCCTATCTTTGTTTGGAATGAGCAGCATGTGAACCAGACGACACTTACCAAATTAGGTGGCCATAACAGCCTTGTCAGGACTGCCCAAACCGTGGATATTCTAGCTGCTAAATATATACATACCTTCAGTTTTTGTGCCATGTTGTAATGAGAACATAGAATGTATATGAGTATTGATATCTAAAAACGTCACATTGCACCTTTTGTAAATCAGCACTAAGACTATCAAAACCTTTGTTTACCTACAAATAATGCCCCACTTAAACTGTTGTGTTACCTGAAACAATGTTCCTGAGCCTTTTCTGGGCACTTCTTGTCTGTTTATTCAACATGCAAAGGAAGCAGGAAAAATGTACTAGTCCTAATGCTTCAATTGTCAGGTTTGGCAGTTTCAAAAGGAGAATATTCTGTAGCCATGGACACTCTCCTTTTCAAATTGTTGCTCTAAAGATCAGGACAAGGTTAGCATGCTCCCCCTCCATACAGACTGAATAGAGAAGTGGAACATGTGAGGAGAATTTGAGTGGGTTGGATTGCAAGTAACTGCTACTGTGGTTAAGAGGAATGTATAACAAAAATACTTGAACTTCCATGAAGGGACTTTGGAATTATGAGCTTTCCAAGAAGGTTGTCTTTTCAGCAAAACTAAGTGGAAACTAGTCCTTGAAATACATACTTCTTGTTTTCAATGTTGTCTGAATTTTAATTATCTTTAAGTCTGTGTCTTTGTTCTATATAGGATTTAATTGTGTAAATTGGAAGTTGTTCACAGTTGACCTCATGCAAATCTGAAACATAAGACAGATTTCCTATTGCTGGGTAGTAGGAAATCCATATTGGGTATTCCATTTGTCTGTCCTGCACATCAGTTTCAGTCAGAAACACTAATATTTGTCATACACCCTCTGAGAAGACTGACTGGAATTATTGATGTGTTTGTACTGGAATCCTTAAAAAATTATATTTTAAAGATGTGTGTGAGTGGACATTGTAAAATGCCAGCGTTATATTAATTGCTAATTTTAGTGCCTGTATATATGGCACAGCCCATGACAGTTTGCTTTATAATAATAATACCCATGTATACTAACTCAGCATTTGGTGAGGATATGATAAAAATCTGTACGGAGAAGCCATCAGAAGAAGAATCCCTGGGATGAGCTGTGATTATGATATACAGAAGCATCAAGCTACAGGAGGCAACCAATTTACAGCAAAGAAAGAAGCTGAGCTGAAGAAGTGGATACTGAAGGGTGGCAGGGAGGTAGATTGGTGCAAAATGTCCTTTACACCTTTGGGTTAATGAGGGACTTAGGACAAATCTATGCTGACCACTTAGATCAGTTCAGAACTGGGTTGGCAGAAATCAGTGTTGCTGTGCAGATGATTAGACTGCCATGTCTGGAATAGGTTTGAAACCAGGATGGTGATTACATGGGCAATGGAAGGTGGCCTCAAACAAGTTCCAGAATCTGCAGCGTTCGCAGCTGTGAAGAATGTGTTTTTAGGCAGATACACACATGTGTATGAAGTGCATGAGGTCTAAAACAATACTAGAAAGTGTAATTCAATTATCTTCTGTGCCCCAAATCAGAGATCTGAAGGACCGATGAGTCTAGCAGCTGTAATTCCATTTGGTTAAGACGGCTGGTCTAAATAAAGAAAGGATGCTACAAGAGTCTTAGGTTGTCTTAAAGAATTGTGAAGTTAAATGAAAATGATGTATTTGTATGGCATATTATGTCATGCTTTGTTAAAACAGACTTATGGCAAATAATATCAGGCAACAAGCCTTCTAAAAGATTGCCAACGCGTGAAGGTGAGAAATATTGTAGAGAGACAGATTCACAGTGCTGTTGCTTTCATTAGTGAGAGGGATGGGGTGGGCTGGCAGTATGGTAAGCTAGTTGACATAACCTGTAGTGGCACCAGAAGCATTGGAATTTGTAGCAGTTCTAGAACAGAGGGCACTACACTCTGGGTGTCTGGGTGTCTGGGTGAGGGTGTGTATTACATGTACATGCGTATGGGCTGAGGATCATGCATCTCTCTCATGCACATCAGAACAATGCACAAGGTGGAGAATTGAGAAGGAAGCTAGATTCCTCTGCATTTTAGGTATCCACATGCACACCCAGCAAGTCTCAACTCCTAGAGTCACTTGGTCCTTACAGAACAGTCTTTGGTGGGCATAAAATAGTGGAGGAACATCAGAGAGGCCTTTGATGGCCAAAAGAGGGTGGAGTGAGTGAGATCTAGTCATTTCCATTTGGAGAATTTTAAAAATATTTTTAATTATAAAATGTTTTGTGGTCTTTGGAAACAAACATATATTTAAAAGGGGTCAAGGATAAAGGTTAAGAACCACTGACTTAGAACTAAAATATTCAAAGCAGTGTATAATGGTAAAGTGATCTTCCTCGCATAATAGTCGCACTCACCTGCTCGTACGCCTAATCCTTGGAGCCATGGGGCTTCCTAGCTGAGAGAACTCCTACCACTCCGAGGAGCAGGCATGTGTGTGGGTGAAGGCTCTCTTACACCTGGAGGTGAAAGCTTTGGGGCTTCCCTTGGCTGACAGCTAAGGAAAGTCTTGTCTATCCGAGGAACAGGCACACAGGCAACTTTGCAGCCACATGACTTCCCTTGGCTGTCAGCCAAGGAAAGTCCCATGGCCGTAAGTATTTTTTCACTGCATACAGTTGCCACCACATAATAGTCGCACCTCTTTCCCCACCCCCAGGGGGAAAAAGTGTGACTATTGTGCAGTGAAATATGATATACACAAATTATCTACATTTCAAATGGTTCATTATCTAGATGTCAAGAATAAGTTTGTGTATTAGGAGCAACACAAAATAAATGAGTTACAGAATTCATTGTCAGGTTAGCTGTTACAAAAATTAGGGGCCAGAGGACAAAGAAGTAAAAAAATGGGCAGATTTCAGAGACACTGTCTGCAGTCACACCGGCTTCCAAAAAGAGAGGTATCAAGGTGCCATTTTACATTGAGTGACTCATCATAGGTTATGCTAACTAGGGAAATCAGAATTGCAAGCAAACATATGGAAGACTGCATGATATTCCTTCTTTACCCCAGACAGGCAGTTAGTGACATGCAGGCTTCATCAGAGGTCTGTGTATTTTGTTGTTGCAGAGTTGTGTATCCATCATTTGCAATGACTACTCTTCCCCAATTCCTGGATTTTCTGCAATAGCTTGGATGAGCTGCCATTCTGAGGCTGGCTGAGAGTAGGGGCAATGTATCAGAAGCATCTTGCAGTACCCCACAACCAGACACAGACTGATGACATCATCAACCAAGTTCTAGGTAGTTTTCAATGACGTCATTTGCCTGCCTCTGGCTGGAGTGCATAGGCAGACACTTCTCTGCCTCAATAGACGCACACTGGATCTCAAAATCAGAGGAATACAATGAGATGTTTGTTTTTTCTAAGAAAAAGCTGGCTAGAATACCATTTCCCCTTCTTTACTCATCACCACCTACTTGGACAATAAAAGTGGTTCAATTATGTTCTGCATAATGATAACATCTCTGGCACTTCCACTCAAGAGAATAAGGTAGCTGGTGATTTGAAAGACATTCACTTGGAAACCTGGAGAATTACTACTTCTAGTCAGAATCAGACAGCTATTCCTACATGGCATAACACTCCTCATGTTTCTTATGATTTTCTGTCATGAATTTTGATTGTATTTGAATTGTTGGGCAATGTATGCAAATCAGTCAATAGTATCAGTCAAGTCAAACAAGGAATATAAACCATGTGCTCTATGCATTTACATCAATCCAGTTCTGTCATTGATATCTTTGAGTAATACACAACCTGTCCATGTCTTGGTTGAAGCACAGTGACTCCTAAGCTGTTTCCAGCAGAAGCACAATACAACATAGCAGTTGTTCTGACCTTTATGTTTTCACTAATCTCCCTATATATCAGAAAATTTTCAAATCTCAGGACTTTTATATGATGAATCGCATAAACAGCTGTCAGGATCAGACACAATCCCAGCTTCTTCACTGGCTCTTATTTTATATCCTACCAACCATAGTCCTTGTTGTTGTTCATTTGTTCAGTCGTTTCCGACTATTCGTGACCTCATGGACCAGCCCACACCAGAGCTCCCTGTTGGCCTGCACCACCCCCAGCTCCTTCAAGGTCAATCCAGTCACTTCAAGGATACCATCCATCCATCTTGCCCTTGGTCGTCCCCTCTTCCTTTTTCCTTCCATTTTCCTCAGCATTGTTGTCTTCTCTAAGCTTTCCATTCTTCTCATGATGTGGCCAAAGTACTTCATCTTGGCCTCTACTATTCTTCCCTCCAATGAGCAGTTGGGCTTTATTTCCTGAAGTATGGACTGGTTGGATCTTCTCGCAGTCCAAGGCACTCTCAGCTCTCACATCCGTAGGTGACTACGGGGAATACCATTGCTTTTACTGTGCGGATCTTCATTGCCAGTGTGATGTCTCTACTCTTCACTATTTTATCGAGATTGGACATTGCTCTCCTCCCAAGAAGTAAGCGTCTCCTGATTTCCTGGCTGCAGTCTGCGTCTGCATTAATCTTTGCACCTAGAAATACAAAGTCTGTCACTGCCTCCAAATTTTCTCCCTCTATTTCCCAGTTGTCAATCATTCTTGTTGCCATAATCTTGTTTTTTGATGTTTAGCTGCAACCCAGCTTTTGCGCTTTCTTCTTTCACCTTGATTAGAAGGTTCCTCAGCTCCTCCTCGCTTTCAGCCATTAAAGTGGTGTCATCTGCATATCTAAGGTTGTTGATGTTTCTTCCAGTAATTTTTACCCCAGCCTTGCATTCATCAAGCCCCGCACATTGCATGATGTGTTTTGCATACAAGTTGAATAGGTTGGGTGAGAGTATACAACCCTGCCATACTCCTTTCCCAATCTTGAACCAGTCTGTTGTTCCATGGTCAGTTCTGACTGTTGCTACTTGGTCCTTATACAGATTCCTCAGGAGAGAGACAGGGTGATTTGGTATGCCCATACCACCAAGAACTTGCCACAGTTTATTATGATCCACACGGTCAAAGGCTTTGGAATAGTCAATAAAACAGAAATAGATGTTTTTCTGCCTTTCTCCATTATCCAGCAATATTGGCAATTTGGTCTCTCGTTCCTCTGCCTTTTCTAAACCCAGCTTGTACATCTGGCAACTCTCTCTCCATGTGTTACTGGAGTCTTCCTTGCAGGATCTTGAGCATTACCTTACTGGCATGAGAAATAAGGGCCACTGTAGGGAAGTTTGAATCATAGTCCTACTGAGTTTCATTTTAATGTTCCTCTTAAGAAACAACAAGAGATATGAACATGGCATTTTTCTCCTGCCATAAGATTTTGTTCCTATGACTACAAGGAACAAAAAGACAAAAATGCAAAGAATGACCTGAATCCCTGGGATAGGATACACGGGGGAAAGCCCTAAAGAACCATTTGTCTTCCTTTGCAATGTTTTCATAGGACATGGGATAAAGCTGAAGTGACATTTTAGTATGAAAAAGGCAGGGGTTGAACTTATTACAAAATCGAAACTACACATCATCATGATGACTTATGAGGCTAACCATAAATATTTTAAACTACAAAAATGATGAGATAGTCATGCTGATCATTTAAAAAAACAAAATGCGAAGTACATGTGGAGGTG